CTTGTGTATTTTCTATCATTGATCGTTTATTGTCTGCATTGCAAAGCATCTAATCAGATGCCGATCGGAAGATATATATTGAATGCCTCGTTATTTATCTCTGGTGAAATCTATTTCCAATCGCGATAATACACAAATTGTGTTGCACAAGACATATTTGCAATAATACTTGCATAAAATAATTCTATTTTAATGCGCTGCAAACAACTTTTTCTTTTTTAATCGGCGCATCTAATTATGACAAAAAGCATTGCTTGTTAAAGCGTAGCTATAGCAGCAAAATCGATTCGAATTAATAATTTATAGAGAATGTTGAGCCTATTAAAGCATTTATCTGCTATTTAAGATCTTGAGCTTCATAGTTAAATATATAGCTGAATAATCTTTAACGTATTAAAAGCAGATAACGCAAAATATCTGATATCTACTTATAAAAAGCGATAATAATTTGTTCAAAGTTTCCTGCGGACAAAACAGTGCTATCTCAGTTTACAGTGGTTTGATTATCAAGCAATTGACTGCCACATCGACGCTTATAAGTAAACCAATAAGCAAACAATAATTTGCATCGAAAACAATCATTCCATTATTTGAATATTCCATTACTCGAAAAGCATTAGCGTTTCATTTCTCAATAGAATGCTTTGATTTTTACGGTCCCAATTTAACATAAAGATATTTTTCACTATAGTGTTTTACATATGAAATTCGTTTGTAACTGCAAAACCTGTCTCGATGAAGAATGAAACCTCGATGATTTATTACGGCAGTCTTGATAGGTGTCTTTGCTTGTAAAAAGATTATAAACATATTAAAGTTTATCACTTTAAATCGGATATTGTTTAATAATAGAATTGATAAGAATTGTTTCGAGATAAATTTGCCGGAGAGATTGACAACTAGCATTTTGTAAAAGTTTGTAAAAATCTGCAAAGTTAAATATTAGTAAGCGCGAACAGGGAAATTGATTAAAATTATTTATAAAATTTTAATACATTATAATTTATTAAAAACATATGTAACGATTATTACTTAAAAAAGTTTTTATATAATAATTTCTATTGTCATAAAATCAGTGTTTTGTAGATTGTCTTTCTCAAACGTCTGCCTAGCTAAAAGGATTCATTCATAATCAATTCATATTCATAATCAATCAATATTGCGCAACAAGTAGACATGTTTCGATAATTTTTTTGCTAAACTGAAAGAGCGAAACTTTTTAATGGATTTGGTGAGCGCATAATTAGCGCATAATTATGTATAATTTTTTAATTGAATTTGTACAACGTGGGAGGAGGACCTAGCTAGGCAGACGTTATTCTTAAGTCTATCCGTTGCTTCTTTAAATATTTTATCAAACTTTCTCCTCATTTATGTGCAAATGACGTGTCTTGACTCTGTAAAATCGAAACTTTTACAAATATTTAATTTTTAAATTTGTCTTGTGCTATATTTTCATATACAAAAATCTTAAATTTTCTTAATATTTTAGAACTTTTAATCAATTGTTTTTTAAAAATAGAATTATCAATTTGTTTTTTAATTATTATCTAAAATTTGTAGTGTTTTGAATAATTACGGCTATAAGAACAATATTTTCCTTAATATTGCGTATATTTTTTAAATATAAATTTTTAAAAGAAAATCAGGATTGCAAACTGACATAATTTTTATTAATAAAGCTGAGTCTATATGTGTATGAAAAAATTTCCAAAAATATATTTGACACATAGACTTTATGCTATTATGCTCGTTTGTAGCATTGTCTACATAATCACAATTCGTTCGGGTTTCCGTTTTTGATTGCTAGTGAGAGGATTCCTGCAATTTCTCTCGGGAGAAAGCCCATGGATACATATATCGCTGCGTGATCTGAATGCTCTCTCACGTTGGCATCACGTGGCATCAGTTATCAGACGCGATATTAAAGTCATAATTTGTGTATTGAAGCACATAAAATATCAATTAGCATGCAATTATTTCTTTTACGTATTATTGTAGTTGTGCGACGGACGTAATGATCAATATATGCAAAGTATGTTTCATTATGTCGGCGCCATTGGTGTATGAATTAACAGATCGTCACTGACTTGGAAAGAAGCAGCGATTTTTACAGCGCAAAAAATTCTTCGCGATTTGGTTTAAAAAAACAATGTAAAATTTTCTATTCTTCTGTCTCGGCTAGTTGTATATTGTATATTAAAGTGACACATTCTAACATTCATTATCATACGTATCTCATGTATGGCGCAATTTTTATATGTATATGTACATACATATGTAATACGTGATAGCAAAAGTATAAATATGGGAAGCGTGATCTCGCATGATCGACACGTGTGATTGTACATGTTTATGGCCATAATACTGCAAAAAGTTTTCAAAAAAGCCTGTTTATGTTAGATAATAACTTTATCTTAAAACTTTATCTAGCGGTAAGATTATGCTAGAAAAAACAAATGTAATTTTAATGATGAATATAAACACACTCATACACTCTGTCTTATATATCGCAAACTTATCTGTAATGATATTCTTGTGAGCATATCAATCTTTTTTTTCGATAAAAATCAAGATTTTTTGCAATTAGTGTCGAGCGTGGAATATTATTAAGGTCACATGCTTGGAGTTGTATGCGTTTCTGATCTATCAAACATAACTGAAATTTCGATATCAGTCATTTCGGTAACAAAGGTGAAACATCATGCCACTTGAAAGCTATCTTGTTACGTAAAATCGGTAGGATAATCCAATTTAATCGTTTGGAAAATAAGACAATTTTTTGATAAACAGCATCTCTCGGTTTATCTCTGTCTTTTCTTATATTCAATACATATTGGAAATTCTGTTTGTCATTATTAAACGGGTCACGTCCGAGTTTATCAAAAGATAATTATAAAGTATCAATGGACAATGGTATCTTATAAAGGTGGGTGGACAATATCGCAAATGAAATTATGATGTAACATTTTTATATTTAATAATTTTATCTTATATATATAACATAATTTCAGTAAGAAATAAAATTTTAATAGTTTTTTTAATCTCCAAACATGAATAAGATAGAATATGAATTTTAAGAAAAATAAATTTTCAACAATATCTCAGATTTAATTAAAGTTAATTTTTCAGATTTTTTTTGTTTGATTTTTACTGATGTTGATAAAATTTTTTAATAATAATAAAATGATTGAATTAATAGCTTTATCATTTATCGTTCTTCTATCGTTCGCGCATTATCATACTTATCAACGCATTAACAATGACTTGCATTCGCATTTCTAGAAAATGCATGCATGACCGTCAAGTTTGGCGTCATATGAATAAAAGCAATGTCAGAATGATTTCAAATTTTATACTATAAAATATTATAGTTTATATTAATTTGATATTATCAAACACGTTTGACATGTAAAACTGTACTCGTCGATAGGTCAAATTCTAAAAATACAGCTGGAATCGATTGTCCGCGTTTTAATCAATGGACTACATTTTAATAGTAGAATTATGAGGATTGAGGTAACGCGCGCGGTATTTCCTACTTTACCAAAATGAAAATATAAAATTCTGAATAGATTTGTGTATAAATTGATAAAAAGAATTGCATCATTAATAATGTATATATTTGCAATTATTAATAATGTATATAATTTTGATTCGTGCAATTAAATAATTATCAATAATCATCAATTTGCAATATAAATACATATACGCAGATATATCAATGTACGCCGTGCATCTGCACTGAACGAACGCTGGTTCAGTGAACGTAGGTAGTGACAATGATTTGCATCTCCACCGGACGAGGTAATACACTTGGGTACACTGGTACTAAAACAGTTACGCGTTTCATGCTAATGCCAAATATTTGCTTTTAATTCCGAAAAAAAATTTCTCATCAAAATATAACAATAAGATTTTTAAGAGAATGTTAATAAAAACATTTTTGTTCCAAACAAACCAGCTTTCTAAATTAAAATATTGTTTATTTTTGCGTACAAAGTACATTTTTCTCTTATTAAAGACACGATATATCGGCGAACTATCGTCCAATGTTGTAAATAAGTAACTAATTTGACAAACGATTTAATTTAATCTCTGAAGCAAAGTTCCTTTCTGTCATGTCCAAGTTTCAAAGTACTCGTGTCACATTAAAGATAACAGAATTATCGATTACACGGCAATCTGAAAATATCGTTATTACAATGATTGTTAGTCTTTTTGACACGTGATGTTCATGTGAATGTTGGATCACTTTTTCGGAATTTGCTCCCGTAAGTGTGATGCATGCGAAATTAACGTACCGAACACTTGTTATTATGATCGATGAACGAAGATCAAAGTCTCGGCGCGAAGAATGATTATCAAGTCCATCTTCCGAAGATCATGTCCTTCTGCGGAACGATTACGTCCTCGAGAGTGCCGATCCTTGATAATGTTGTGCCATTCTTCAACGCAGATAGCATTGCGTGCATCTGTTTTCCCTTATCTTTTGCAATATTTTCATATTACGCAACATATCATAAAGCGATATCTCCTCGTTTTATTCCTCCTTGAATTCCAATCGTAGATTCCATGGCAGCGGAATAAATAATCACAATTGTGAGTCGCGATTATTCGTTTAAAAATGTTAATAGAAATATTTTTCTTTTTCCGATTTCTTAAATTTTTATTTCCATTAATTCACAAAATATTGCAGACTGTTGTAATAGAAAACGCATCAATATATTAATAATAATATATAAGGTAATACATTTTTTACATGATAGAATCAGGTTCCTTGAGCAATTTTTTAGAATAGATGATTACGGTACTTGTTTCATCTAGTGAAAATTCAAGAATGAAAGCTTTGAGGCCTCGAAAACAGCCGAAAGAAAAGTTGTCTGTACTAACGGTCGCACGAATATTATAGTTTTCTGCGTCGAAGTCACATAACTCACATGAGTCACAAAAACTCAAACGATGGTATTTCATGAACAGCCATATTTACCGTGTTACAGTACGGCAGACAAAACATAGAAAGCGTGAAGAAGAAAAACGGTACACGGGATCTGGACACAGAAGAAGGATGCGAGTCTCCGACGATCATAGAACGCGGTTCAACGATAACGTCGTCTAAAGCACAAAACGGATGTATTGGCAACTCGGTGATAGCCAGGTCGAAGGACTTAATTTTAGTCCCCGAGCCGGACACGCACAATCATAAAAATCATGTTGATGAGGCGAATCTAACGGATGATCATAAAACCTCAACGATTGATGACGAAGAGGTAAATTTATACGGAATTGTATTTCCGTCAAGTTTTTTCACGTTTAGCTAAATTGCCATATTTTTTCAATTATTTTCAATTGTTTTAGAATAGCCTTAATCAGAAAAATTCTCTCGAGTCGCTCCAAACCGGATTTGCGCCAAGCTGTTTGGATTACATCAGATCAGGCGTTGAAGCAATTATAGAGGATGAAGTGACGTCGCGCTTTGAAGCAGAGGAACTTAAGGTAATATTTTTCCTTTTTTAACTGCAATGCAACAAAAGAATTGATATTTTGATACAATACTTATCATAGTCATGCCTTGTGATAACTTATGAATTTTTTAAATAGAATTGGAACCTACTTACTCGAACAAACAGATACTACGAATTTATTTCTTGGAAGCTAACTTTCTTATGGATGTTTGGATTCGTCATGCGCTACGGTTTTCTTCTGCCTCTAAGGGTATTCATCTGCTTCGTAGGGGTAAGTGTAATATTTAACACATTACATTACATTAACACAAATTACATTGATACACAATGAGCAGCTTTAGAAATAAGAAAATTGCGGCAACAGGTTTTTCACGTTGAAATTTTACCACCTTATCTAGCAGTATAAAATAAGTATAAAGTTTATGTACAAGTGTACTTGAGCTGTTGAAATTTAAATTGCGGATATTAATCTTTCGCAAAAAGACGTATGAAACTGTTTTTTTTTTTAATATTTTAAAATTTATTAAAATGTATATATCAGATTCAAAATTATACTAATATCGAAGCTTCTTAGGTACAGTATCTCTTATTCGTAACATTGTTAATCGGCTCTCTACCGAACGGCCGCGTAAAACGTTGGGCGAGCAACCAGGGCTCTCTTATTGCGTTCAGGATTATGTCCCGTTCTATCGCGGGTATGATCACAGTTCACAATCCAGAGTATAAACCAAAGAACGGAGGCGTGTGCGTGGCGAATCACACGACTACCCTCGATGTCTGCATCTTATCCACGCAAACGACATTCTCTTTGGTAATGTGTTGTCGGATGGAAGAACACGTTAAGCTGAAAGATTAAAGCAACTCATTGGCATTCCCGCTATGTTCTCATTTTTCATCATCATGAATGCCTTCCATCTGTTGAGATCGACAGCTTTTTATTGCATCTATTATTTTGAATGGAAACGTAAAGCGGGTTATTGCGCATTATTATAACATTTGTAATATAACATTCATATAATTCGTGTCGCTTGAATTGTACACGAATCAAGTACGTGTATGCTATGTTTTTCACAACATGGTGACAATCCTGTTATTCGGTATATAAAATAATCTCTTCATATTTATGTAACAAGGAGTACATCAGTCGTATTTAACTTTCTTGTGCGATGGAGAGTCAGACATTTGTTTCTAGTATTACGGAAGTTGTTGCGCATTACTGGTAAATGTTACAGGTAACGTTGTCCTGTAACTTTGGTTTACAGGTAATACACCTACTCAGCAACGACATAGAGAGGGAATGCCACGTTTCTCAGGTGCAAAGCTTGTGGTTTACAGGTGATGTGGCTGACAGTGTGCACTGCGGTAGTGGGCTACGTTCCCGAGGGTAGCTTCAAGCGGTGGCTGACCTACAAAGTGTCCATAATGTGCTTTGCTGTCTTGTCCAGTGCTCTCTCTTCAGTCATCACCTACCACAATCCAGAGAACCGACCTGTCGGGGGCATATGTGTAGCTAATCACACATCTCCTATTGACGTACTCGTGCTCATGTGTGATAATTGTTATTCCTTGGTACGTTTCTCAATACGCCGCCTATGGTTATGGATCGTTTTACGGCTGCTTCTTGCACACATAATCAGATTTTTTGCTTTGCTTAGGGTTTTTTCAAACATCTTTAGAACGATATTCTTTGATAACATGCTTGTATCTCATTTTATATATTGGTTATCCTTACTTTTTTCCAGAAATAAGACATTTCTTGATGATTACAGATTCATTGGAGTATCTCATATCGGTCTCCTGTAACGAAAATTAAATACAAAGTCCAATAATTGTAGTAATTTATAATGTGATATTAAATATACGAAAACTAAGTTTTAGAAGAAACTCGCATTTAACGAAGTCCATCTTGAAAAGCGAAATGTTTTGCTTCTCTATTCTAAGATAATTATACAGTTGATTGTTGAATTATTGAAAGAATTCTCAACTTAGTTTTCAGTGTTCTGTAATTCAAAGGAAATGCACGATTTCTGAAATGCAATATACATAATTTTTGAATGTAGATCAGCTCGTCTTATTTGCATTTCTTATTATAGATAGGTCAAAGGCATGGTGGTTTCTTAGGAATACTACAAAGAGCTCTCGCTCGTGCCTCTCCACATATATGGTTTGAACGCTCTGAGGTCAAAGACAGAGAAGCGGTTGCGAAAAGGTGCGATTGACTAAAGGCTAAATTATATTCTCCATATTTCATATTGCCATGTATAGAATAATTATTAAAACACCCTTCAATATATTTAAAACAGATTAAAGCAGCATGTGTCAGATCCCACAAACCCACCGATACTGATATTTCCGGAGGGCACGTGCATCAATAACACGTCGGTCATGCAATTCAAAAAAGGCAGTTTCGAAGTGGACAGCGTTATCTATCCCGTGGCTATAAAAGTAATTTCTGTTTAGCCCAATAGTTTTAATGCGTGATAATGTAATTTTTTTTTTTTTAAATTGTTTACTTTATTTTTCAAAACAGTACGATCCAAGGTTCGGAGACGCATTTTGGAACAGCAGTCGATTTTCGATGATACAATATTTATACATGACGATGTCGAGCTGGGCGATAGTCTGTGATGTGTGGTATCTCCCTCCGATGTACAGGGAGGAAGGGGAGAGTGCCATCGATTTTGCGAATCGAGTAAAGTCTGTGATAGCGCGGCAAGGTGGTCTTGTCGATCTGCAGTGGTACGTCAGACAGTGGTTCAAAGACAACTTTATAGAAAATGAATATGGCATTTATTTGACAAGTCATGCTTATATATTGCTCTCGTGAATGACAGGGACGGTCAACTGAAAAGGATGAAACCGAAGAAGGAATGGAGGGAAAAGCAACAAGAAGAATTCAGTAAACGACTGAAAGCCGAATAGAGTCATCAGTCGCTCTAGTCATAACTTCATAATGCACATATTGCGTGATGTTTGTTTAAGCAAAATTCATCCATTTCATCCACTCCTGTCATCGCATATTTCCGCATTATGTTATCGTAAGGAAAATCTATATTGCATTAGTTATAGTTTGTATCATTAATTTGTAGATATAAATACTTCTGCAAATATGAAGTTTGCACTTTTCTGGCAAATTTCTGAATACAAACAATTGGCGATTATAACTCTGACGTGTGTGCGAGGTAATGTAACGTTGTACATTTAATGTGAATGTAACTTTTTAAATCGTCACTTTTAAATCGGTATTTCGTACATCGCTTATATTTTGGTTGGGATGTTTGAGGTCTCGTTTGAAGAAGTGCAAGCATGGTATTTGCTAGTTTTTTAATAGGTTCGATAATCGTGAAGGCATTACGAATTTATTATTTATATGTGAAATGTGTAATATGTTTAAGTGTGTGATACTTTTTTGCATGCATGAGTGTATATAGCGCTGAAAACCTTCCCGATTATTCGTACATATTTTGGAATTGCCAGGCAATTGAACAAACGAACAATTCAGACAGTGCATTAATTTTCTCTTATCAATGAGGACAGTAAGGGAAAATATTATAGTTTTTGCTGTAGTTAAAAAAAAAGAAATAAATATTTATTCATTTTTCCGAAGAAGATCTAACACAGAAATGGCAATTCAGCACTCCAGATTACCTATCCTTTAGAATTAGGATATATTGCGTTATGTTATTTTTCTATTAAAATCGAATAGCATGTCGATATATATTTTCTACTTTTATATTTTATCTATGTAGAAAGTGAAATTCAACTCTCTATACAGCAATGAATGTCAATATACCAATAAATATAATACGCAGTTAGAAATTTAAAAATAAAAATATTAATATATTAATATATCCATGAATTTCACTCAACGAC